GAGAGATGTGTTCTTGAACATCCCATAGTGCAGGACTCGTAATGATGGACTCAAGCTACAAGAAGCCAGATTCAGGCTGAATATCAGGAAAAACTTCTTAATTGTTAGGACAATACGACAATGGAAGCAATTAAATTGGGAGGAGATGGTGAGTGCTCCAACGCTGGAGGCATTCAAGAGAAAATTGGATAAGCATCATCAGATCTGCTTTGATTTAGATTCCTTCATTTAGCAGGGGGTTGGATGCAAAGCAGGGGCTTGGATGCAAGGGCCTTAAAGGCTCCTTCCAACTCAATAATTCTAACATTGCAAATGTTAGTTACAAGAGTAATATATTACATTGCAATTGTTTTTATTGTTTGTTTCTTGAAAGGGCTTTTTAATATCTCTGTTGCAACTCCTATTGCTTTCTAAACTAAACAATTTATATTAATGTTTTTGATCTGTATTCTGTTTCTTAGGATGCCAAGAACAATGGCCCTTAAAGGAAGCTAGGGATCATCATAATACTTGGGAATTTGCAATGTTTAGATCCTAGGAAAACGCCTGAACAAGCTCTTGGATGTTTAAATAATCCTATTGCCCTGATACCGTGCCCTCTCTGTGACCCCTTAGAGTTGGATTTATTTCAGAAAATGATTGCTTTCTACTCCAAAGTGGAAAAAAAACCCACAAAGGTTATTTCCCTCAATGTGGAAACTACATGTTTTCCTAAATCTCTGGGATTAGAAAATAATGTCATTAGAAGCATCTTTGTTAACTTGCAGTTCATAAGGGACATTGGCTAGTTAAATCCAGGGAGGAAAAAAAAAGATTTGCCCCAGCTTAAAAGATGTGAAATGGAAATAGTGACGCTCACATGTTTCAACAGTACTGTATTTGGTTTGGAAATTTCTCAATTTCAGAAATATTACAAAGTTCTATGCATTAAAGCATTGCCCTCATTCTTCGAAAACTGCAAAGTGTTTATACAATTAATTTTTTAGTGGTGCCAATAAGATGATTTGCTGCTTCCTGGAGGTAAACATTTTTTTGTAAAGTGGATTATTTTCTCATGCATTGGACGGTTGTCTGGTGTGTAGAAACTGAAGCTTTTTCTGAGAGAGAGATAAAATGATGGAGAAGGCTACATCTTAATAATTCCTACACACACACACACACTACCCAATTGGAATTACAGCCTTTTCAATCAGGTTCTGCAGGTGTGTAGTTACCAGCGACTTGATGGGCAGGAAGGAGCTGATGCAAACAATGAAGATGTTATCACCATTTGAAGTGGCAGAACAAGCCACTACAAAAGCCAGAGTTAAATGGAACACTTGAAAAGATAGCCCTTATGTTACTAACCTTACTTCTTGCAGTGCTTTGCACTCTGGAATTTACTGCCAGCTTAAGAGTACAAGAAAAGCCTCTTTATCCTGCTCACACAGCAGCCAACCGGGTGTCTCTGGGAAGACCAGAAACAAGCCAGGAGCATAACAATCTCCCTCCCACTCACATCCTCTAGCAACCAATTCACACAAGTATACTAATTGACACAAAGGTTAATACAGACATCATTAGTAGTACTGACTTATAGCCCTCCCCTGCGTGAATTTGTCTGATCCTGTTTAAAGCTGCTTATGTTGGTGGCCAACGCTGCATCCTGTGGAAACAAATTCTGCACCTTAACTAAGGTAAAGGTTCCCCTTGACATTTAGTCCAGTCGTGTCCAACTCTAGGGTGCGGTGCTCATTCCCGTCTCCAAGTCGTAGAGCCAGCGTTTGCCCGTAGACACTTTCCGTGGTCACATGGCCAGCGTGACTAGACACGGAATGCCGTTACCTTCCCACCAATGTGGCACCTATTTACCTACTGGCAATTTTACATGTGTTGGAACTGCTAGGTTGGCAGGAGCTGGGACAAGCGACGGGAGCTCACTCTGTTGCGTGGATTTGATCTTACGGCGGCTGGTCTCCTGACCTTGCAGCACAGAGGCTTCTGCAGTTTAACTTGCAGCGCCACCACGTCCCCATTGCACTTTAACTAGCTGTTCGGTAAATAAGACTTTAAGAGATTCAAGACTTAGGACCTGAACCTTATCTGAGAGAGAGAGAGAAAAAAAAAATTCTTACCACCTCTGTCGCTGTTGTACATAATTTTAAATACTTTGATCATTTGCTATTCTTACTTTGTTTTTCTAATCTAAACAGACCCTAGTATTGTCACTTTTGTGTCTCAGAAGACCTCTGTGGTTTCAGTAGTTATAGGATGAGCAAAAATTCAATATGAAACCCATCCAGTGGCACAGTGCTGAATATCTGCCTGAGGTGGGGTAGTGGAGGTTGAATGTTGTTGTTTTTTTCCTTTGAAAGCAACCAAATATGTTGGAAATAAGATTTGGCTTCCAGGCTTCCCATTGCCTAGCCACGTAAGCTATGCTCTGTTGACAAAATCAGTGAAATAAAAATCAAATAAGAAAGTGGAGAGGCAATGCTCTGTTTTAATTAGCCAGGACCCTTTCTCTCTGTTTTAAGTGCATGAAGGGTAGAGTGTGAGAAATGCACATGGTGTAATTATCTTGTATGTACTTTAGGGTTTGTTTGTTTTAAAAACAGGCTTATTGTTAGCAGTTTAAATCAGCCAGTTAAGTGGGAGGTGAAAGTAATGGTGAAGGGGTTTTTTTTTATAACTCTATATATAGAGTGACGAAACCAGAAAAATGGTCAAACCACATTTTTCACTCTAGAAGGTATGATATGAACTTCTTGGAGGGATAGAGGATTTTCATGGCCGCATGTATATTACAACTTCCCTTTTTAGTTGAGAGATGAGGACAGGATGAGGTGGGAGTATGAATTCTTTGCATAGAATTGTGAGGGACAAATGTCCGCTATTACAAATGTTCCCATTCATCAATTGTTAGCAGTGTTTTTAGCAGCCTTGCTTAAAAAGGGGGTAAGGTGGGGGGGCAGAATAATATTATGGGAGTAATTAGACTGCACTCACAATTTACATCCACAGTGTTGTCCTTCTTGATGGGAATGTTTCTAACACTTAATTTGTTTCGAATGCAGTGAATTTGTGAATTAAGTTGCTTCACTGCAGTTTCTTAACAAATCCCATAAATACAATTGTGTCTAGTTAAAAAAAAACTATTGCCATGTAGCACGTACATATCTTTATTCATTATCCCATTATGTCTGCAAACAGGTTCGACTGGTTTTTCCACTGTTAACTTCAGGCTGCAATCCTCCAGAGGCATCGTTGCATAGCATCTAAGGGTGCAACTGTACACACACACTCATCCAGCAGTAAATCTCATTTAACTCAAATCTGACTTATGAATGGGCAGCCATGCATGGTGAAAGTGTGCATACAGGAATCAGAGAAAGTAAAAAAAAATCAGTTGGATGACACATCAGCTGGAATGAATATAAACATTAACGTTCGTCCAGGGCTGCGCGGCTGGTAAGTGGTGCCGCTGCACAGACTCGTATCACGGCAGTTCTGAAAAATTTACACTGGCTGCTGGTTGCTGCTCGGGCCCAATTCAAAGTGCTTACTTTGACATATAAAGCCCTAAATGGCTTAGGACCTGGTTCCCTAAACTAAGGACTGCCTTCTTCCACATGAGCCTGCCCGTCCTCTAAGATCAGGCCAGGAAGCCCTTCTGAAGGTGCCATCCCTGAAAGAGGTGAGGGGGATGGCAAGTTGAATAGGGCCTTCTTGGCTGTTGCCCCCCCAGCTTTGGAATGCCCTCCCTATAGAGATCCGCCTGGCTCCAACACTTTTGGCTTTCTGGCGCCAGGCAAAGGCCTTTCTGTTTCGCCAGCATTTTAATTAAATAGTATTCTAGTTTAGCTGGTCATATGAGCAGCAGGATTTATTAATATGAATGTTTTAAGGACTGCTTTTAATATAGGATATTATAATATTGCTTATTTTTAATGGTTTAAATGTTTTTAAAGTTTTAATATTGTTGTACGCCCTTCTGCCTGCTGTATGTTTGAACTACACCTCCCATTATCCTCAACCACCCAGAGGCTATGGGAATTATAGTCCTAAACAGCCTGCATCTGTAATATGTATGTGATGGAGGATGACTGTGAAAGCTGGCCTGTCAAGAAAGTTGATAGGAAAACCATCGATTTGTTTGAAATGTGGTACTGGAAATGAGCTTAGCAGACACCCTGGAGTGCCAGAAAGATGAATAAATGGGTCTTAGATCAGATCAAGCTTGGAGCCCTGGAGTGCCAGAAAGATGAACAAATGGGTCTTAGATCAGATCAAGCTTGGATGATCTCGGGAGGCTAAAATGTTGAAACTGAGGATGTCTTACTTTGGGCACATCACAAGAGAGCAAAAATCTCTGGACAATAATGCTGGGAAATGTGGAAGGCAGCAGGAAAAGAGGAAGATCAAATACTAGATGGAATGACTCCCTACAGGAGCAGGGCAGTTGAGGACAGGAGATTTTGGAGATCGCTGGTTCATAGAGTCGCCATGAGTTGGAGGCGACCTGAAGGCACATAACAACAACAACAACAACAACAACAACAACAACAACAACAAACAACAACAACAAGGAGAAGGAAGTCACTTTAAGAAAGAAGGGAACCGATGCCAGGGGGTCGACAGTACGATGCTATTAATGTCTACTCAGATGTAATTTCTGTTAAGCTTAACGGCTCTATCAGGTCGCCGTTTCCATAGGAGACCCGCGCAGAGGAGGGGGTACACGGGCTTTGACTCTTTCCTCCTCCCACGAAGAGCAAGAAGAATAGCAATGACGTCGCAGCAACACAACAATCGCATGATGCATTTAGGAGGAAAAGCCAAAAGGAACAGAAGGGATGTGAAAATGCATCACTCCTGGAGGAGGAGGAGGAGGAGGAAAAGGAAAAGAAAAGAGAAAAATCGAAGTTGCCAAGGTTGGAAAGCGACCAGATCCTGCCTGACTCAAAACTCCCCGGAGCTGGAGGAGGCGCGCGGGGGGGGCGGGCGTTAGAGGGAATCGTCATCAGGCTGCGCCGGGCGCCGGAGAGGAGGAAGTCGCAAACACGTGTCTGAATGGGGGGGAGAGCGTGTCACTTGTGGTCCTGATTCTGTGCCCCCCCTTTTTTTTTGCAAATCCTCTAGGGTCCCGGAAAGGTAAGGCAAGAGGGATCTGTGCATCTGTCCTTAGGAGAAAGACCCAAGGGAATAGAGAGGGGCTTGTTTTCTGAGGATGCAGCCTAAGGAGTGTGATACGAAAGGGGAAATTGGCGGGTGGCTCAAGAGAAAGCCAAGGGAACAGAGATTGAAGCTCCTGTAGTTTTATTAGGTTGGTAAAAGACGAACATTGCAACCGGTCTTGTTTCCCATGGCAAGCTGTATAGTTGAATTTTCGTCTTCTGTATAGTTAAGGGTGCAAAAGCCTTCCCCTCTTGTTTCTGAACATCTTAAGCTTATGCCTAACTCAGTGAAGGAGAGTGTGGTTCCCTCCCCCCCCGGTTGGACAGCAACTCCCATCATCCCTCACCATTAGCTAGGGCTGATGCAAATGCAGTCTAGCATGTGGAAGGGCACAGATTTTTTTTAATTTTACTATTATTGGCATTTAAATATAGGATGAAAGTTAAAGTGAACGTTTATTGAACTTACTTAGCTGTTTAGAATTAACTACAGTTGCATCCCCATAGTTAGTATGTGGTGTCAAGAGTTGTCTGACTTACCTGTGAGAATTTCAAGAAGTGGTTTACCATTCCCATACCCAGTGAATTTCCATGTCTGAGTGGGAATCGAAATCCAGCTTTCTCAAGTTCTGTCTGAAGCTCTGTCTACTATATCACACTGACTGTCAAGTATATTCTAATAATGTGTGCATTGCCATCATAGGGAAAATAACAGGGTGTATAAAAGAAGTACGAGTCTCCTTGTAGTCAAAGGTAGACTTGCATTGAGAGTAATCAATAGAACCTCTGTCTGTCCAGCTGTTTTACTCATAACACCCATCAACCCTATCCAGTGTGATCAGTGTTCAGGGGAAATTGATCTAATAGTCCCAGAAAATAGAGGTGTCCATAGTTGCCCACCCACTGCTTTTCAAGGGTTGTAGTGGAGAAGCAGAGAAAGACCTGGTACCTTAGTTAGCAGTTAGTTCAAGACCCTGGATTTAGGCTTAAGGTATAGAAGTAGGGAAGTATGACAGGGAGAGGCTGCATAAGTAGGTACGCTAGGCAGGATTTATAGCCAAAAGGAGAAGCCACAAGAACTGTGCATTTAGAGTTGTTTCCATCTTTCTTACCTACAGTTTGTCTGCCAACTGCAAGATTATCAGGATGAGTTTCATCAAATATGGAGACACGGTAAAAGAGGGGGACACGGCTATTATCTTTTTGGGTCATGAGTCAATGTTTCCGGTCAAAGTGCAAGATGGTGGTAAAACCCAGACAAAGTATGGGGTGATCAGACACTCCACTGACCTGATAGGGAAATCCTATGGCTCCAAAGTGACCTGCAGCAAAGGAGGCTGGGTGTATGTTCTTCACCCAACACCTGAACTATGGACTCTGAACCTTCCCCACCGAACACAGATTCTCTATTCGACTGACATCTCCCTGATCACCATGATGCTTGAGCTTAAGCCGGGATCAATTGTGTGTGAATCAGGTAATGGTTCCCATTGTATGACTTTTATTTTGACTATTAGAAGGAGTATTTCCCCTCCCCCTTCCCCAAAACAAAGACAGACCAGTGAAACTGGTGCCTGATATGGTGCCCCCCCCACCCCAAAACAAAGACATACCAGTGAAACTGGTGCCTGATATGGTGCCTGTCAGAGGTTTTGGACTACAGCTCTCGTTGTCCATTTTCCACATTCTCTCTCACACACATTCAGTCTTAGTAGTAAACTGTTTAAAAAACTATGTAGGTAAGAAAGAAGATTCTGCAACACAAATATTAGCTAGCAACATCCATATTAAATTTATCTTTTCCCTCTACAAAGCGTGAAGTGTCTGATGGAGCACTGCCAGGAGATATATAGCACCCTGTGAACTCTGTCTTAGCTCTCCCTAAAATTTCAATATCTGGAGTGTCCAGGAGAGATCTTCAGCTTTACTGGGGGGGTTGGGATTCAGCTGCCACTCAGCTTCTCCTTTGCTGCTCTTTGTTTTCAGTTTCTGTTTCCTGATTGCAAAGTACTGGGCATCTTTGGTTTAAAACTTTTTAACCCCATGAGTGCTGGATGGAACACAATGGATCTGGTGGGCAAGCAGTGGCTCTTTGCTGTTCCTTGTAGTTACCCTGGAAGTGTGTAATTTGGTCCAGTTTTCCAGATGTGTTCAGAGACAGTATAGATATATCCCTAAAAACATCAAGCCTACCTAGAGAGAAATAATTTTACATGCTTGGGTAACTTACTCTGCAGTGTGGTCATGGATAAGGACATCCTTGCAGTTAATCCAGCAGTCTGTTCAGACAGTGGCCATGCAGAGGCCTGGGGTGAGTCTGCCAGCAAGACATCAGTTTAATTATCGCCTTTATCGCCTTTTCCTTTCCAAATGCTGTATAGGGGCATACTGCCTCTGATCCAGGAGGTGATGTATCGCTGATGGTCTTATCCTCCATGAATTCATCTAATCTCTTTTTAAAGCCATCCAAGTTGGCAGCAATAGTTGCATTTTGTGGCAATGAAATCCATGGGAAAAGTAGTTCCATTTATTTATCCTGGATATTTCAGCTTCATTCCTAATATGGAGTGACAGACTAGGACTCAAGACCTGGGTTTGAATGCTGCTTGGCCAATGAAGCTCAGGTGTGGATTGGAAGTGGTAAAAACACATCTTTAACATCTTATGTACCTTGAAAGCCCTATTATAGTCTCTATAAGTTGGTCTCCACTTGATGACACATCGTACACACGTGTGTATTAAAAGAGGATTTGAACCAAGGAGTTGGGTTTAGAACCAAGGTCTCCTGAATCTGTATACTACTCCCCGATAGGTGTAATGTGAGAAGGGCTTAAATGTTTTCCTGTCTTACTTTTTTGATACCATGGATAATTTTATACATTTCTAGTGTATCCTCTCTTGCTTTTTTCCCTCCTAAATGAAACTGTGTATTTATTTACTTTGGACTGTCTCCGGATTGCCTTTTTAAACAGTCTGGAAGCTTCAGTTGGTTCAGAACGGATTGGTTTGGGGGCCTTGCCAACCTGGTCATATAGTTGGTGCTGCAACCTATTCTGGCTGCCTCTCTGTGAGGGACTAGTTCCCTTATATTTGGCACTGGTTAGGCCTTATCTTGAGTTCTGTGTCTAGTTCTTGACTTTGCACTTCAAGAACGATGTCAATAAATTGGAACAAGTCCAGAGGAGGGCAACAAGGATGATCGGGCGTATGGAGACCAAGCCCTATGCGGAGAGACTGAAAGAAGTGGGCATGTTTAGCCTTGAGAAAATAGGTACGAGGGGGAATATGGTCGTTTAGTCGTTTCCGACTCTTCGTGCCCCCATGGACCAGAGCACGCCAGGCCCTCCTATCTTCCACTGCCTCCCGGAGATGTGTCAAATTCATGTTGGTTGCTTCGATGACACTGTCCAATCATCTCGTCCTCTGTCGTCCCCTTCTCCTCTTGCCTTCACACTTTCCTAACATCAAGGTCTTTTCCAAGGAGTCTTCTCTTCTCATGAGATGGCCAAAGTATTGGAGCCTCAGCTTCAGGATCTGTCCTTCCAGTGAGCATTCCAGGTCGATTTCCTTTAGAATTGATAGGTTTGTTCTCCTTGCAGTCCAGGGGACTTTCAAGAGTCTCCTCCAGCACCACAATTCAAAAGCATCAATTCTTCAGCGGTCAGCTTTTTTTATGGTCCAGCTCTCACTTCCATATATCAATATGATATATGGAATATGATAGCACTTTTCAAATACTTGAAAGGTAGTTGTACAGAGGAGAGACAGGATCTCTTCTTGATCATCTCAGAGTGCAGGACATGTAATAATGGGCACAAGTTACAGGAAGCCAGATTTTGGCTGAATGTCAGGAAAAACATCCTAACTGTTAGAGCAGTACAGGAATAGAAGCAATTACTTCAAGAAGTGGTGAGTGCTCCAAACTCAGGAGGCATTCAAGAGAAATTTAGACAACCATGTGGCAGATACCTTTTGATTTGTATCCCTACATTGAGCATGTGTTTGGACTTGATGACCTTACAGGCTCCTTCCAACTTCAATATTCTATGATTCTATCAATTTCTGAGCCCAATACAGAGTGATCGTTTGAAACTTTAAAGCTCTAAGTAGCTTGAGGAGGAAGAGCTGCAGCATATCTCCTCCCATCTTTCTTTATCAGGACTCAGAGGGCTAATGGCTGAGGGTCTCCTTCAGGTTCCTATGGCAAAAGAGACAAAGCAAGTGACTATCAGAGAGAAGGCTTATTCTTTGTAATTTCCTGAGATGCTCACCTAAACACCTACATATTGACACTTTTGGCAACATGTGGAGACCATTTTATTTTTCCAGACATTTCAAGAACTGTTTTGGCCCTGTAGCTCTCTGCCACCCTATCTTATTGCTGACTTTATTTTAGTTTTACCATTTTTTCCGTGTATAAGGCAATACTTTTCTCTAAAATATTTAAATTAAAAATTTAGGCTCGTCTTATACACGGAAGTAAGGAAGGGGAGGGATCAAAGCACTTTCCCTGCTTCCCCCTCCACTTTCTTCACAAGAAAGAAGAAAATGGAGGGAAAAAGCACTTTCCTCACAATAAAGTGCTTTCTTGCGAGGAAAGTGGAGGGGGAAAGCAGGAATCATCAAAGCAATTCATCAAAGCAATAAAGTGCTTTCTTGTGAAGAAATTGGAGGGGGAAAGCAGGAATTGCTTTGATGAATAGCTTTGAGGAATCCCCCTCCAATTTCCTCACAAGAAAGCACTCGTGGTGCAGTGGTTAAACTGCTGTACTGCAGCCAAAACTGTGCTCACAACCTGGGGTTCAATCCCAGGTAGCTGGCTCAAGGTTGACTCAGCCTTCTATCCTTCCGAGGTTGATAAAATGAGTACCCAGCTTGCTGGGGGGGTGGGCAATGTGTAGCCTGCATAATTAACTTGTAAACCGCCCAGAGAGTGCTTGAAGCACTATGGGGTGGTATATAAGCAGCATGCTTTGCTTTTTTGCTTTGCTTTATTGCTTCAATGAATTGCTTCGATGGTTCCTGCTTTCCCCCTCCACTTTCCTCACAAGAAAGTGGAGTGGGAAAGCAGGAATCAAAGCACTTTGATCATGCCTTCCCCCTCCACTTTCTTGCAAAGAAAGAAATTCTGGGTTAGAAAAGTGGGGGGCATCTTATACATGGGGCATCTTATACACTGAAAAATACGGTACAGTGGGGTCTTGACTTGAGAATTTAATCCATATTGGAAGGCGGTTCTCAAGTCAAAAAATCTGTAGGTCAAGTCTCCATTGACCTACAGTGCATTGAAAACCGATTAATCCCGTAACAGGCCGTTTTTGTTCCATTTTTGTTTTTTTCTGGTCTGTAAGTCAATTCTCAGGCTGCAAGTCAAACCTAAATTTTGTGGCCAGAGAAGTCTGTAACTCAAAAAGTCTGTTAAGTCAAGCCATCTGTAAGTCAAGGGTCCACTGTATGTCCTGAAATGCTTTTTTCTGTTGCTATTGATTTTATCTGAGTTTTGTATTCTGTTTCTTTCGTTGTTTAGTACGTTGTTGTTCTATTTTGTGTTTTTTACAAACTGTATAACACCCAGAGAACTTTGGTTAGTGGGTGATTTGGAAAGTGCAAGGAGTAAAATAAGTAAATGAAACAGTAGCCAGAGTCCCATTATGTTTTCATGCTGGCATTATAATGTTAGAACTGCAGAGCTGGAAGGGACCCTATGGATCATCATGTCCAGCTCTTATCATGGAAGTAAAGTGGAAAATTGAATTCCCAGCCTCTGGCTCTGCAGCTAGGTACCTAAATCATTGAGCTACCTAACAGCTCTATGTGGTCATCATAAACTGGGCAGAAAATCACTGCAAGCTGAAAAGTCAGCATGTGCACTGAGTTGTGAGACTGAGTTGTGACGCAACAGGAAATGCCTGCACTGAATTCCTAATTTCCAGCGATACGCCTCTGAGATGAACACCAATTGAATTATGCTAGCAGATATAGCTACAGTATTAGGATTCTGGCAAATATCAAGTGAAGCACTGAAGTGGGATGTAAGTAAGAACAGGTGTATGTTAGTTTCAGTGTCTTGTCCCTTCTTCAAGACTTCATATAGGTAATGTAATTAAACACATAAAAAGTAGAAAAGAATAATAAAGAGCGCGGGACATGTTTATGAACTAAAGTTCTCAGCATCCCTCAACATTAGACACAGCATTAGGGCTTGATAGGAGATAAAGCCTAAATGGAGGGCTACCACCCCATAACTCTGAAAGAACATTAAAACCAGAACCATCTAAGTGGGAGGGAGTGACTGCTAAGTGATATTTTACATCTAAATCAGCAAACTCCATCTTTGCCAATCAGCTTTTAAGAACAATGGCATAGTATCCAGCCAACGTTTCCTGAATTTGAGGACATGTTGCTCCTTGCTCATTTCCCAGTTTTTAAGAGTCCAATATAACAAGCTTACCCTGTTTGTAAATTTTCAGTGTGATC